ATTCACGAAAGTATTCAAGACAGAGTTTGAAGTTTTAAAAACGTTTTTACTTAACATGATGATCTGGATTCAGGCGCGTACGCAGGAATTTGGTCTAGGGGGGGGGGGGGATAATAAAATTTTTAAGAAATATTGTTTTTAAAAAAAATCAAGCATAAATTTATTAGGACTAATAACTATTTTTAATACACAATTTTAAATTAATGTGAATTAAAATTATATGTAAAGAATCACTTAAATGACCCAAAATAGAAATTTGAATTTTTTGAGCCTTTACACAAAAAGTTTCTTAAGAATAATTGTATTTTGTATGTTATATATTTACAATGTAAAATCCAATCTTCGTTAGGATTGAGATAATTTTTATTATCTCATCCTTGCTTGTCGTCAAATGCCTATGAATATTCAAAAGATCCAAACCTTTCTATTTACTTTCAGATGTTGTACTTCTTGGTATGTTTTTCAGAGACCTGCAGGCTCGGCCCCCGGAGTGGACAATATTTTAATTTTTTTAAATATACCTGGGCCGGGCCCGAATTTTTTTTTAAAAACACCAGGGCCGGGCCTGAATTATTTTAAAAAAACACCCAGGCCGGGTTGTATTTTTTAAAACAGCATATATTTGAAATCGTTATTATTAGCTATAAAAATCAAAAATAAATATAATTTATTTTTTAAAAATCAGGGCCGGGCCTGAAAATTTTATTTTAAAAAAAGCCGGGCCGGGCTTGAATTTTTTTAAAAAAAACCGAGGCCGGGCCGTAAAAAATCTCTAAAAATATCCGGGCCGTGCCCAGCAAATGGTACTTCTGCAGGCCTCTGTTATTCTTCTTAAAAAAGAGAATGTTCACTCGTTCATAAACCCTTTTAATACATTTGGAATTTAATCTAAAATGTGTGTTAAAATAATGCAGAGCATTCATAGAATTTTTTGGGACTATATCAACCATAGTTAATCTTATAAACATAGTTATTCAGCTAATAAGGCATCAAACAAATATTTTTTTCTATCACCTTCTGAAAAAGGTTTGGAAGGCTTTTGTGGAAGTAATATTTGCAGATTAGTAAGTGCTGCATGATGAATTAAAAATTCATTTATTTGGGTTATAAATGTATCTGTATTTAAGATATACTCTCTACTGATCCTATATTAATGTTTTAACGATGAGCTTGCCTTGCTACAAGTCGAGGAAGACAAATATTAAACACGTCTCTGCTTTTGACTCAACATTAAAATATAAAATATGAAATACTTCATCAACATTAGCCCTAATTTCTTTGAGTTCTGATAAAATGCTCTCCGCTATTCTCATCTTCTTAATCAAGTCAATGTCATGTTTTTGAAAAAGTAATATTTAAAATAGTTGTATAAATAAATAATACGTTCTAATGAGAAATAAAATTTGGAATAAGCATCGAATCCAATAATTTTCTTGCTTCTGAGGAAATATTTCTTACAGGCCATTGTGATATTTCAGTAAGCTGTTACTGCTTGATGGCAGATACTCTATCTCGCAGGACAAGGTTGCAATTTCTTTCTCCCTGTTGGACAAGAAGTTTCAGAAATAATTATTATTTGACTAAAAATTTGAAAATGGTAGATAAATATTACGCCACTAAAAATTTGAAAATAATCAGTAAATATTACGCCGGAAAACTTAAAATTGAAATTAATTAATAAAATAACTTATGAATGTGGTAATAAATGTAATTAAATATATATTTAATATGAGATACGAATAAATATTAACAAATATAAAATAATATAAACAATTATATTTTTGAAAAATATATCCGGCATCTGCATTTTTTGGCTTGATGGAGGGGGGGGGGGTATTTGTTCTCCCGCCCTTCCCTTCCGCTGGGTACGCGTCTGTCTGGATTTAATAATAATAGTTAAAGATCATGCATGCAAATTTTTTTAATAAATTTATCAACTGATTTTCCCCCTGACTACACTATGTCGCAGGTTGATAACCGAACATAGGCGTATCCAGGGGAGGGGGACAAGGGGAAACACCCCCCGCCCTTCAGAAATATTTCACTTAAATGTGAATATCATTTCAAGCTAATAAAAAAAATCTTCTTCAATCCCCTTCCCACCCCCTGTCCCCCAAAAATGTATGCATATATCTTAAACAATAATTTGAAAGAAAAATATAGTTAATAATTTTTAAAACTAAACTAATGACTACAATAATATTTTTTAAAAGCATTTATATGTGAAAAAAGTGATAACCAAAAACATCATTAAAGAAATCAAAATTTTTTATAATTAGTAATTACTATTATATTAGTATATTCTTAAAATTACTAAATAATATATAAAATAGTTTTTATAAATAATGATAATAAGTTGTTTTTATTAAAATTAACCTCCTCTCCTATAAAATTATTTATAGCTATATATAGTCTAAGGAAACCCTGGCAGTCAGAGCAAAAGCGGGTCAACGGTAGGGGTTCTAGGGGCGAAGCCCCTCACAATATTTAGTAATCCCCCACCCCCTAGGAAAATCAAGGCAGTGCCTATGTAGGCGAGCATATTCTACGAAGGATGTGTTCATTAAGATGGAAGAAAGAAAAATTTTAGTTGATTATGTTTTAATTTAAAATTTTCATTAAATAGAGTAGAAAATTATAAAGCGGTTATAATAAAAACATATCAATTTCAAAAATCTTAATTACTATTAAAAATAGTTTTTTGGAATAAAATTTATAGCATTCATTTAAAGAAAACAAGTTTATAATGTTTTTTAAAGAAAAATTTAACTTTAAACAAAAGAAAAGAAAACAATTAACTTCAAAAATTCGATAAAAATTTTATTTATAATAAAAAACAATCAATAAATAATTCTCATTTAAATATTTTTAATCAATGACAAATGTTTATGATTCAATATCATTCAGAAATTGGCATGGATTCCATTTTTTTTTAATTGTTAGCTATAAATTTGAATAAATAAATAGTTTAAAAAAATTAAGTTTATTTAAACTAATACCTTTTCAATAGAAGGAATAAAAAATTTAGAAAAAAGGATTTTATTTTAAATATAATAAAAAATAATACTAAATTCATCTCAAGTCTTTTCTCTTTTGTCATATTTCTGAAATAGTAATATTTTATAATTATGGCTTATTTTTTTCACATTCATTTCATTATTACTGTAAAGTGGATTAAAGAAACCAACCAATAAGTAATGGCGGAATCATAGGCGTAACCAGGATTTTGATAAAGGGGAGGGGGAGCACTTTTTCTACCATAAATTTCATTGAAAATTTTTAGGTCTACTTATTGTATGCCTTTAGCTCTATTTATAAAAATAAATTTGGGTATTCACTCTTTTTTTTTATAAAAATGCTTTTTTTCTTCCAAAAATTTGAATTATATTTTGTTATTTTTAAAAATAATTAAGTTTTACTAATTTTTCAGATTCTTGTTTATAGTGATATACTGTATATATTGTGGGAGGGGGGATTTTTTATTCGCTAAAAATAATATTTAAGAGAATAGACAAATTTTTGAAGTGAGAATCTTGCCCCCCCCCCTTTGGCTACGCCTATAGGCGGAATATATTTCTCTGAATTAGCTTATAAAAAAAATAATAATTCATTTATTTATATACATTTTAAATAAATAATTAATTTTCGCCTAGTTTTCATATCAACAAACATCCAACAAAGTTTTTATGTTTGTTCTTTAGTAATTTTATTTTTGAACATTTACAACCTCGTTTTTTTTAAATAAAATTTATGGTTATGTTATAACATTGACTAAAGTCCTGCAAGTCGGTCAAGTCCGTGGGTAGGGCTCGGGCCTAAAAATAAATTGAATTTCAACTACCTACTCTCCTTCAATTTCAATGACGATCTTGTGCCATAACCCCCCCCCCCCCCGGACTCGAGCTTAGTAAATAAAAAATTACCATTGAATTTGCAGTTAGCACTGATATTTACACATATTGTAAACCCAATATAACATTATTATTGTAACAAAAAGTTTGAAATTAAACTATTTTTTCTAAATCAACATTTAACCCTTTTGAAGTTCAATTATGGAGTAAAAATTCTGAATAAATTTTAGATGAAAAATTAATAGTTTAAATTTTATTTTACTATGTATTTATAAAAAAAATAATAATACCATATGGCATTTATGGTCGTCTAAATACAAAAATTATGTTCTTAAGAATAAAAATGCTAGTATTACAACAAATATTGTCAGGTGTAATCCACTAGCAATAGAAGGTATATCATAAAAACTAAAAGAAATAGAAAATTTATAATTTGGCCAAAATCGGGACATAAAAATGAGAAAAAGTATAAAACGTAACAAAATACAAACAAGAGCATATATTAGTCTGAGAATTAATAAAATACGATTGAAATTATTATATAATTATATTTTACCGTCGAATTAAATCATTAAGCATTCTTAATGGTTATAAAATAACATGCAAGTTAATGATGTAAAATTAGTTCACAAGACTTTAGGGATAATTGATTAAAAATTTAGGAAATATATTTCATCATTTTATAGTCAAAAATATTGGAGCAACTAAAATTAGGGGGAAGAGGATAAGTATGTGTTTTCGCCATCAATTTTATTAAAGGGTCCGCTTATTTCAAGTCTTTCCCCGTGTTACAATTTTAAAAAATATAATTTTAAACGGTTTTTTTATCAAAAAACCCTTTTCAGATAAATTTCATCAAAAAATAATAATTTTTTTGTAAATTTTAGGTAAATTACTTATTCATGCTAATTTAGATAGAATTACCACTTTTTTTTATTCATTTTAAATAAAGTAACCTCTTTTTAAATGTTAGAAATTTTTTAAAAAATAAGCCCCCTTAAGTTGAAAAAAAACGATATAGTCACCGGAAGGATGGGAAATGTGTAGTGGAAGGGGTAATTTTTATGGCCTAAAATGATATTTACGGTAACATCACCTTCCCTCCCCCCTCATTAGCTATGTTTAAAGTCAAAAACAATATATGCCTACCATCAAAGCTTCCTTGGGTAATGGCAGTGTCTAAAAGAGCTTTATAGGTGTTTTCCGAAGGGGTGTAGACAAAAACACCGGAATTGAAACAATCAGGCCAACCTATATCCGGGGCGGCTGATAATTCTTCCTTCTCGAATAATTCGTCGCAATTTTGTATGACCTATAATTATTATAATATAACGTCATAAGACACCTAAAATTTGTGATTACACAAAATTAATCAAAGAAGGTTCCATTTTTTAATGCCATTTAATTAATATTAAACTGGAAATAGCGATTATTCATCAAATTATTTTTTTAAATTTTCTTCTTTTTCAAAGAAATTTGCATAATTTAAACTTTAATTGCTAAAAATTAGTCGCTTTCAATACAAATAATAAATATTTGATTTAAAACTTAATTGTTTTTTCCTTATTCTTTCATCTAAAAAAAAATTATAATGAGGTTTTATTAAGATTAAAAACATTTGTGTTATATTCGATTGTAATATAATTATAATATTTATTATGATCTACTAAAGAACATTCTTAATTTGGGAATTGAAGTGTTGACAACTTTTAATAAATTATAAATGGATATGGAATATATTATTTCAATTTGCAAACTCATTCCAACTCTTTAAATAAAAACCCTTAAAGGTTACAAAAAATAACGATCTTTAATAAACAAACCAACTTTAAGCAATATCAAACAAATTAATTTATATCCAAATATTTTTTTTAAATATAAATTATTGAATATTGGTTTCAATGCCAATTAGATTATATCTTAATATTTATTTAATTTACACTAGTCAAGATTTAAATAGACCGAAATAAGTAGAGTTTGTAAAAATAAGGTAGGTAACACATAGTAGAACTAATAATTATGAGTTGTGATATATAAGAAAGGATAAGTTGATTTTTACCAGGCAATCGGAATCGAGAAAAACGCATTTTTTATATTGCGTTAGTTTCCAACAATTAATTTTGGTAAATGTGACACCCAGTTCGGGACGCCTTATCAGCGCTAAATTCGCCTCGTCTCTGCTTTCTAGCACGTCTACGCACGTCACATAGTCAAACAAAGAATTTAAATGGTTTCTGGATAAAATGGGAAAATAGTTATTATTATAATAAGAAATTTGAGTAAGTTTATCTATTGTGAACATTTCACGACTGATTTAATTTACGATTAGTAAATTAGGATTAGATCTCACTTTTTTTAAAGAAAAAATATAACATTACGTTTCTTCCCCGGATAATTCAGTTCTAACTTAAATTTTTTGAAGGCGTTATATTTAACGAATCTGACTTTGTATGAATAAATTCCAGCATGTGTGGAATCACTATAATTTTCATTAATTTTTTCATAATTTTTTTTACAAATTAAAAATGACTTCAAAGGTTCATAAATTTTTTTTTTACTAATGTAGGAAATTCGCCTTCGATAAATGATTTAAAGTCGAAAAAATAACACATTGCCGGAGCCAGGAATTCGAACCAAAACAAATATCGGTTCAGTCAACGGTGCAAAATTTATAAGTTATAACAAATTAAAGGTATTTATAAACTATAATATAAAGATTTATTATAAAAATGGCGATTGATACTGATCAACCAATCAAGATTGAAGATTGATTATAATCTTCTAAACAGTTTAAATATTTAAATATTAAAACCGGTTCACCGATCTTTTTTACGGTTCAAGTTCAAATATCAAAATTTTAGTAATTCAGGTTCGGTTTGATAAATAATCACGGTTAACCGATTTAATGGTTTGATTCAGGAAGTTTAAATTTTTTGATAAAGCATTAACGTGACGCTAACAAAATACATTTCAATTTCAACAAATTTTATGATAAAATAATAAAAAAACAATTATTTATTTGTTTTTATATTTAATATTTAGGAATTTAATCATAACATATTTTAAAAAAAATCTATAAAAATAGTTTGCCGTCCAGTTGTTATTATATTTTTTACATCGAATAGGACGAAGAAAAGGTTGAGTGACACTAACATTATAAATTATAATATATTCAAGCCTAAAACTTTTAAGCCTTCGGCCGTATATGGAACAAAAAATATATATTATAATATAATTTATTATATCTAATCCAACAACTCCAAGATTATAAAGAAAAGAATATAAAAATAAATCATATAAGTGCATGGTAGAAAAAAAAATAACCTCATAGATTGAGTTACCATGGGTGTAATTATGACTGCCAATTCCCTATTAGTATTAACGTTCCTAAGAGAACACCCTAAAACCATAGCACCTAATGCATAAGCGTCGTTCGTCGCTAACGTTACATATGCTTGATCTCTCACTACCATATAAATAAAATAAATTGTTAACACAATAAATGCGCATTTTTTAAGCAATAAAATGGTTAAAATTTACCTTTGCCCATTATAATATGTGAATTTTTCTTACTTCACCTTCGCAAGAATATAATACTCGATTAAATCTTCGGAATTTATTTCAAATCTTGTCGTGGTATAAAAAAAATCTGATGTTTTAATACTGCTTTTCTACATAAGGATTTATATCCATTTTTTCTATGTAATAAATTATAAAAATACTTTTATAGATTGATAATTTTTTCACAAAATTAATAAAAATAAAACAAACGGAATTGATATATTAAAATTTTAATATACGTTTTAATTTTAAAACAGTTGTTGGCACGTTTTTGCAGAATGGGGGAAGAAATATTTTTTGTTTGTTATAAAAAAAAATTATTTAAATATCTTATAATACTACTTAATTATAAAAAAAAATTTATTCAAATTTTATTCAATTTTAATTTTTTTGAAAAAAAAATTGATTTTTATTATTTTTATTGTTGTATTTTTGAATTTCTCTTTATAAGTAAATAAAGGTCAACCACTAAATAAAAATATAATTTTACTAAAAAATAAATAATGAAAAATAATTAAATTAATTTATAAATAATAATAATAATATTAAATAGTGTTCGAAATAAATAATATATTTACAAATATATATAAAAAAAAGTAAAATTTAAATAGTAATATGAGATGCCAAAGCTATTCATATATTTGCATAGTCAGTCCAAAATGATTCAATATCAATAGTAATAAAATAAGTTATTTGCCATGAAATAAGTGGAACCGTGTTTTTTTCCTAAAATTTTATTTTGTCCAATTTGAACAATAAATCAAAGAACTGAAGATTCGGACCGGAATCCGACCCGGAGTCGGTTGTGGCAGGAATAAAAATATGGACCAATAAACCCTGGCCGGGACTAGAAATATTTTTTCTTAAACCGTGTCAAGCCGAAGAGTTTCAAATTAAATTATATCATTTTGATTAGTTGGAATATCATAAAGGCTGGGCTAAAGAAAAATAATTTAAATTCAGGCAGGGCTTAAAAATGGATATCATTCATTTTCAAAAAGTTGAGTAAAAATTCGACCTCTATTAGTTTCACATTAAATTTCTTAATTTTACTTTATAAATATTGGCTGAATATTTAAATTACATAAGTACATCTCAATAAAATTTTTAAGAAAATACGGCCCGCACTCTACCCACTTTCAGAGAATAGTCTTTGAGATCTGCAAGGGCCACATAACATTCACAGCATCTTTTTGGACAGAGCTAGGTAACTTGTCAAAAAAAATCTTAACGGACTGCGCTGGACCAAAGATTTTACGATCAAGCTAAAAAAAATCTACGGCTGCGCCTAAAATAATTTTACAGGCCTTAAGGCCTTGCAGATTTCTAGTCAATATACCTATAAAAATAAATAATCAATTTTTGGATGTTTAACGTATAATTCTTAAATGAATGCGAAATTTTTTTCAAATTACCTTTTAGAAATAATCTTGATGTCTTGATTGGCGCTTTCATCAGCCTTCATAGGCAAATCAGAGATCACGGAAGTGTCCAAAAAGTCGAAATCAAGAATATATTCTATTCCGCGGGCGGGATCGTTTTGCTTGTACCCGTTGACGAAACGCATGTAAGTCAGGCTACTTATTTAAGGTTAAATTTAAAAAAAACACAAATAAGTATTTTATTTTTTTAAACGAATTTTTTTATAATAAAAATAATTTAAAAAAATGGAAAATGCTGTTAGCTTAAGATTAGGGTCAAAATAAATTAAGAAAATTGGGCCGCGCTATTACCTATTATATACGATTGAGCTCAGAAAACAAATTAAATTGAGACGGGGCCTATCCAAAGAATATGATTAATTTCTTTTATATTCTCTAATATTAAAATATAATAATAATTTGTAATATTACAATATAATTATTTATGCAGTTGAATACCATAAATGATAGATATAAATGAATTTTAAGGATTAATTTCTTACTTAAAATTAATATAATGTAAAACAAATATTTTAGAATATTCTATGTGATTTGGACAAAGCAATTCACAATTTTTTTTTATTTAACTTTAAAATTATAATAATAATGAGAAATTGTTATTTTTCAATCATTAATTTGGGCCGGGCTCGGGTCTAAAGATAAAAATTCGTATATCTGCACAAGGCTCTGATTTGGTCTGAAATGTATTGTTTTGACAGTATAAAAACAAAAATTTTATTTCTAAAGCTATCCTTACCTTCTCTTTGGATTCATCTATTATATACTTCCTAACTTGATAAACGATTAAAGTCTAATAAATTATAAGTAATGCTATTTAAAATCAAATTCCAATATGCTTTTCATCTTTTATTAAATTCTATTCAGAGCCATATTATATAAAGTGACCCTTCCCCTACCATTTTTACACCATCTAAGTCAATGACGATATTAAGCCGTATCATAATTTCAAAAAAAAAGAAAATTAAAAATTAAAATAGACTTAAAAAATGGAAACCCAAATCAAATCAGCACAAAAATGGAAATAACCCCCTACCCTTTGCTATCCCCCCTATTTCCTTCCAATTGTATTATAATGGCGATAGCGTCTATACAACTTCCCACTCCCCAACAATGAAGATCTTCATACTAACTTGCCACGATGCGATTTCAAATTAAATTCGGAATTATAACTTTTATATTTTCAAAGTTTGACAAAGTAGTACCTTAGTATTGTTTTTATTAGGCTTATTTAACACACAAAAAAAATAAACGTTTTGATAAATAAAATGTTATGTTTAAGAGTCTTCGCCAAAAAAATTATCGATTAAAATTATATTTTATACAATATAAAATAAAAAAAATATAAAACTTATTGATTTTAACTTCTTTTAATGATAAATTATAACCAAAAATAAATATGACTTTTATTTTTATTATCATATATATCTTTTTTCTTAGTCATGAAAAATAAAACAACTATATAAAAAGTTTTCGGTTCAAAAAAGGAAAAAAATTTAATATAATCGATATAAGATCGGTTGGCTTTAGGAGAGTCGAATGAATGTTTAGAAAACCACACCCCCCACCGTCATAAAAAAAAATTATCACCCCCAAACAAAAATTTTTAATCTTTTATTTTATGCGATTTATACATATAATTATTTCTAACTAATGACAAATTTTAATTAAATAATTAAATTATATTACTATAAATTAACTCATTTACAAAAGAATAATTATTTAAATTTACTATTTATAATTGTTCAAAGTCACTAATTGTGGGGCTGATTGTAATTGACGGCATTACACATTGGTTTTAGAATCGGGGAAAAATGGCGGGCGGGGGGTGGGAGATTTAGAACGAGAACATTTCGCAAATAAAAGGTTAAATTTAATTTTATTATAAACGCAAAATTATAAGTTGTAAAGATTTCTAGTTCTAATAAAATAGTCTTGTAACAAAAGCTAAAATAGCAACCAATTATAAAATGGTCGAATATCAGGGCTGTGAGGCGGCCCGGGGCTAAAATAAATTCGGCGGCCCTATAAAAACTCCTAATTTACCTAAGTTTAATCAAACATTTTAATATAGATATTATTTGTAGTGCTACAAATATTTTAAAAGATGAATTCGTTCGCGTTTGTTGTTCATTAATAAAAATCGAATATGTTAGTGTTAAAGAACGCATTCAAATTCGTAAATTTACAGAAACCAAGGTGCCATGTATGGATCGGATCAGGTTTGTAAAAAAAAATTACAGCCTTGGTTTTAAAAATTTCGACTCTGAAATTTAAAATACATATCAATTTGCATTTAACAGTTAATTTTTTTTAACTAAGAAATAATTTAATATCTAATAACATTAAACATTATCATCTTTATTCTAGGATGAAGCTTCTTTTTCAATTAATACCAAAGAAAAAAAATAATTAATTATCTAATAAATTTTAAAATTATCTTCTTTATTTTAAAATAAAGCTTATTTTCCATTTAATACCAAAAAAAGATTACAGTTGTGTTCATTTTAGGCGAAATATATTTTATTTTGAAAGATTATATATTTGATTGATTAAAAATAAAAATTATAATAATCGGTCTTTAAATTAATAACTATTTGACCAAAAATAAAAATTAGTCTTTTAAGTTAATAACTATTTTATTTACCTGGTATAATAGTGTATGACAAATTAAAATTGTAATCTGACTAAAAATAAAAATTATTATATTTAGTGTAATTTAAAAACTATTTAACTTTTTTTTTATAAGTATATTCAATCGAGACATATAAATGGCTTTGAAATGGTAATATGTGAGGTGAATCAATTTTGAAATATATTATATATTTATATTATATTATATGAAAATAGTCGAGTTTCAAAATATTTGGCCCAGGTTTATAGAAAACCTTAGTAAAAATTTTTTTTTAGGCCGACTCAGGATTTATCTTGAAAGATTTCTATTGCAGGTCTCTCTGATATAATAAATTTTATATGAAACACTTTGATGCAAACTATTAAAATATATATAAAAAATTCAAAAAAAAATCGCCTCAAATTCTAGCAAATAAATTTTTATTTCTATTTTTTGATAGTTTAAATATAAATTTGTGAGTGGTATCAAAATTTCCTAATTCCATGTCCGGGGTAAAATTGTAATAAACCTGGAGAACTTTTGTTTGAATAAAACTGTTTTTTAAACTTTAACAATTGGTAGATCAACGTTTGGTGGCATTTTTTTGAATCTGTTAGGTAAATTAAGATTATCTATTCTGAATAATTTTTTTTTAAATAAAAAGACGAAATTCTATTCGTTCATGACATTTTAGTATAATTACATAATTCAAACATTATTTTTAACTTAACAATATTCATATGTAAATTAATTTGCCAAGATATTAGAAATATTCAAATTCAAGAGCACTTTAAAGTTTTATAACAAAATTAATTAATTTATACTTAAACGGTTTGATTAAAATTTGGCAAAAATTTAGAATAGAATTTTTAAAAGTTGTGAAATATTTTTATATAATTATGTATTTTTATTGATGTTTAAAAACTTTTCGAATATTTCGATTTATTTAAATCGAATTGTCTAGTATATTCACATTAGCTACTATTCTTATCATTTTGATATTATTAAAAATGAATTAAATTTCTTTGATTTAAAGTAGTGTTCTTAAACGGCTCGATTTGAGCCGATTTTTAAAAAAGGAAAGTTCAAGCCAAAAAAACCCTTTTAAAATACGAAAGGTTCGAATTTGTCCTACCATAATTTCGGGTTAGTTAAGAGAACAAAGTAAGGAAAAAAATTTTCGATTTTTTCAGAGTATGTGAAATTTAATGCTATTAACAATTCCCGTGTTTTGCAGAAATATTGTTTTCAGAAATAACAGGTCTTAAATCTTATACTCTATGAT